CAGATGTGAAGAAAGTTTTTACTAGAACACAACTACAACCATCCAACAGGTATGTAGCTGTTCAATCGTATCTAACTGATTCTGCTGAAAAATGGTTTCGACATAATAAATCTAATATTCTTGATTGGTCTACATTTAAAATTGAACTTGTTAAAGTTTATAAACCATCACTTCATCAACTTTTATTAAAAATGGAACAACGAGTCCAATTATCTACTGAATGTGTTATGGATTATTATTGCGATAAAATTTATTTGTGTTCTCAGGTGGACCCGGACATGAGTTTTCCAATGATTATTCATTATTTGCTAAAGGCTTAAAACCCTCATTAATAGCTCATGTTATTCATAGAAATCCTACGACACCTAATGCATTTCGTGTTTTTGCTCAAGATGAAGAAAAAATCTTACTTACATTAAATGGTTTCTCATATGCTACACCAACTGAACATTATACTTATCCAATTGACAATATTGATATGGATCATCAAGTGAATATTATTAAACGTCCAGTTAATGTGAACAATCAATCCTTTAATTGGCAACATTATCAATCAGCTCCTCAACCACCTATGAATGTACCAACTACTGCATCTTCGTCTTCCTTTTATCGTCCTTCCTCATCTACATCACGTCAATGCTATGCATGTCATGGTTTTGGACATATTGCTCAATACTGTCCACATCGAAAAAACATGTAAAGAGGTATCCAGATGGTGGTACCTCTACAATCAAGAAAAAACCATCCCATTCTTCATCCTCATCAATTTATGTTCCCGTCAATCATGTTCCTACTACTATTTTAGTTGATACAGGTGCTGCAATTTCTTTAATTCATCATCAAACATTATCTACTATGCAACACACTCCTATTATTCCTTGTTCATTAAAAGAAGTTCATACAGCAAATTGTGGTTTTATATCTCTCATTGGTATAGTTAAACTTAATGTTCAAATTCAACATATTCATACTCAAGTAGATGCATATGTTACACATGATCTTATTTGTCCTATGATTTTAGGTCGTGATTGGATTCAAAACAATTATGTTAACATTAATTTTTATACCAATCGTATTTATCTCTTTAATGGTCTTGCTTCAACTGCTTT